TATATATATATATATATATAATTTCCTATTTCGATTTATTTATTTATTTTTTAAAGCACATTAATGTCCATTTAAAAATTGCATTATTTATGCAATTCTAATTCATGGCAGTCTTTGTAAATATACCTAAATGTCCAGATGCAGCTTAAAAACAACATTATGGCCACATTGTAGCCTTAAAGGTGTATGAGTACTAAATTATATTTTGAAACAAAATATTTCTTTCTAAGGCTACTTTTTGTAATGTCTATTAATTCTTCAAATTTCGCAGCCCAAACTGCCGCCAGTTCGCGACAAATTAATTTTAGGAGCGAGTCATTTTATTGAGTCATTCAACGAATTAGAATCAACTAATTCGTTCAAACATGCTGATTCATCCAGCAAAGAATCAATGAGTGAGTTATTTAATTGTTCCCTTAAGAAGCTAATCGTTCAAAAACAGTGATTAATTCAAGAACCACACTGCTGTGTTTACTTGGACAAGCTCAGCGATTAAAGGTAAGGTCACATTTTCAGTTGTTCGGCGATTTTTTTCCAAGGCAAATCACTTTTCCAAAGGACGGGTATTTTCGCGCGAGAGTCTGCACCAGTATTAAAAATAAAATTAAATGATTTGATTTTCTTTTTAAAATACACAGTCGCTGTGTAGAATTCGACATTAAATATTTTCTACAATCTCGAGGTAAGACTGCAATGGTAAAACAACTACGAAATGTGGTTTCTGTGTGACACACAGATCATGATCATGAGCTCTGCTGCATCTCATCTTCCTCATATTCATTTTCAACATGCGTCACGTACTCTTCTGTACCTCTCCTCACATGAGATCATCTTTTCCATTTCTCTATTTTCGTTTTCTGACGTAGCTAATATCTCCAGTGATGTTCTAGTTATTGAAATTGCTTCATGACAGCAGTTATAGCTAACACAGGACATCAATATATCACATAGCTCTGTTGTGCAAATACCTTTAAAAAATGTAACAAAACAAAGAATTCTGAAATAGCAAGGCTCCTAAAACTATGGCATCACATCCTGTCTTTGAGCTAGACATTAGTCATTGGTACAATTTATTTAAAGGGGTCATAAGATGCGATTTCAATTTTTCCTTTCTCTTTGGAGTGTTACAAGCTCTTGGTGCATAAAGAAGATCTGTAAAGTGTTTGGAATAGATGCATCTTAATGGCTAAATGTGAATTACATTGTCCAAATGCTGTTTTGGGACATAAAATAAATGTAAATCTTATTTCTTATTTAAACATTTATATTTAAAAGCAGCAGGTCAGTCTCAATAAATAAATGCTAATGCTACAATCACAAAACTCTGGTTGTAACGTTTTGTAGTACCACATGCTTTGATTGTAAATGATACTGGTAAACCTTGCATTTTAACCCAGAAACATTTACCCCGTATTCTTGGTTTAAGGTTGCGGTCGACTGGAGGAGGCTCAAGGTCAGGATTCGAAGGCGAAGGCAGCTCTGTTTTGCCATTGGTGAGTAGGGAGACGGACAGGGTGGAAGGGCTCATGGGTATGTATCCGTCTGAAGTCACATCAGAGCAGCTGATCGGTGGGGAGGCCATGGGCACATATGAATCCTCAGAGTGGTTTTCAGTAACTGTGGTATTCAGAAATATTGGCTAGAAATAGAGATACAGAGAGAAACACACTGACACATCTACTTTCTGGCAGTGAATATTCAAATTGATGCGTATTTACAGTGCCTGTTTAACTTTCTCCAGGCTCATTTGACTATTTCATATTTGAATATTTCTTTACCAGGTTGAGGCTTAGACGTTTGTTCCAGTTTCTTCCAGCATTGTCAAACTCTCCTGAAAACATGAAAGTACAATATCAAAATATATAACAAATATTGTTGAAATGTTATAATGAAAAAAGGGGGGGGCACACATGGCACACGGCACACGGCACACTTTCTCTCAAAATATGTGCATTTCGTTGCTTTTTTGCTTATGACAACCATTTTATAAGTTGAAGAAGTCTTGTATTATCCCCAAATCACCAGCAAAACCGCCACAAAGGCATTATTCATATCTTCCTCTGAACCAGGTTACAGCTATTTGTTAAATGTATGACATTATTTAATGCCTCGTACTGATCTGAAGGTAAGAATTATGGCCAATGACAGAAGAAAATGCAAACATATTTTCTGTTATATCTGTGGGACTTCTACTGCAACAAACGGCAAAAAAATTACAGATTTTGTGAATTTGTCTTTATGTACTGTATATGTGAACCTGGAGCACAAAACCAGTCTTAAGTCGCTGGGGTATATTTGTAGCAATAGCCAAAAATACACTGTATGGGTCAAAATTATAGATTTTTCTTTTATGCCAAAAATCATTAGGATATTAAGTAAAGATCATGTTCCATGAAGATATTTTGTAAATTTCCAACCGTAAATATCAAAACTTCATTTTTTTATTAGTAATATGCATTGCTAAGAACTTCATTTGGACAACTTTAAAGGTGATTTTCTCAATATTTAGATTTTTTTGCACCCTCAGATTCCAGATTTTCAAATAGTTGTATCTCAGCCAAATATTGTCCTATCCTAACAAACCATACATCAATGGAAAGCTTATTTAATCTCAATTTCGAAAAATTGACACTTAAGACTGGTTTTGTGGTCCAGGGTCACATATTTCTTTGACATTAAATGGTGCATTTGAAAATTTACTACTTTTTGTAAAGACAGAAACCAAAAAAAAAAAAACCCTGACACTTTTGACATTTGGTTTCTTTTGTTATTTTGATATGTGCATTTGTAAGAAAAAAAAACTGATGTGATGGAACATTTTTATGTATATTTTTGCAATCCGCATCATCACATTAAATAATAGGTCTTGCAAATCGGCAGAATTTTTTTTTTAGATTTTTTTGTGCATTCTCACCTCTCTTAAAGTGGTCTATTCCTGAAAGTGACGTCCTGCGAGGCAGGAGAGCAGGTTGCGGCTGATTACGGCCGGTATCCTCATTACCATGATGATCGGACAGGTGTGTAGGTTTGGGTGGGAGGGGAGGAGGCGTCTGTGGGTCTGATGTACCGTAGAAGGGCCGGTCGAATCTGAAAATGTCCGATGGCCGGCGTAGAGAGATGGGAGACGAGAGGCAGGACGAAAGGGAGGAGGAGAGAGAGAGCGGGCCACAGGGGGCACTGAATGGGGGCTCGGACACTCCACCCAAAAGGAAAGGGGAGGGGGAGGAGTCAGTGCGTGGGGTGGGGCTAAACACATCCTCTGTGTACTCAGACGAGCTCTGCTCAAAGGAGCGTTCAGAGTTAGAGATGCTGTCACACCTAGGGAAGGACAAACACACAGAGATAAGCATATATGCACAAAATCAATAACCAAATAATGTTATTAAATGTACTGGTATATAAAATACTGTTATATAATAATGTTATACAAAACTAATATGGAAAATATTTTTTGTTCAGAGAAAGCATATGGAAAACGTTTGGTGTGTTGTCATAATGAAACAATTTTTTTTACACAGGCTTCCTCTGCCGAATGAGTGCTGAATGATTTAGAAATCACAAATTTGCATAACAAATTTTAAATTTGCTTTCATATGAACTGCCTTAGAAAGACAAAATCTAAATAAACAAGTATAATGCCACATTAAGTATGTTAAAAATTAAACATTTGCTTAAGTCTCTGAGACACAAGTCAACATGAAATGAAATAATACTTCTATTCAGAAAGGATGAATTGATCAGAAGTGAGAGTAAAGATATTTATAATCTTACTAAATATTTCTATTTCAAATACAAGCTGTTCTTTCTATTCATCAAAGAATCGTAAAAAGTAGCACAACCGCTTCCAACTGTGATAATAATAAGAAATGATTCTTTAGCACCAAATCATCAGCATATTAGAATGATTTCTGAAGGATCATGTGACATTGAAGACTGGAGTAACGGCTGCTGAAAATTCAACTTCGCCAACACAAGAATGAATGACATTGTCACATTTTAAAATATATTAAAATATAAAACATTAAAAACCTGTAATAATATTTCACAATATTACTGTTTTTACTGTATTAGAAAAAATGAATGCAACCCTGGTGAGAATTAGAGCTTTCAAAAACACTGAAAAATCATACCTACCCCAATCTTTGTGAACTGTAATATACCTGCAAAGTAGTTTCATTCATCAGCTATAACCCCTCCATAATGATGCCTCAGTATTCAACACAAAACTGCATTACAAAAATCATTGTGCATTTGTATAAAACCATTAAGTCCCTACTTTGCATGCAGGTATCTGAAGATTTTATTTGAATCTAATCACAGTGTGTTATGCTGCAGTGACCAAGATCAAAAGATTTCACCGAGGCGAAAAGTGTGAGAGATTTTCTATTCTCATTTATTCTCTCAGTCACCTTTATTAAATCAGATTAAAGGAAAAGCCGATAGTCTGGCGCTACATGGAATGAATCTCATTTCTGTATTGAGATTAACATATAATTATTATTTTTGCAACGTGTGATCATAAGAAGCGGGGTGGGCCTTGCCTGACGATGCTCTTCGTGCCGGTTTCACACTGAGAGAGAAAGAGGTAGTCAAGTGGAGGACTGATCTCTGATTCGCTGGGCCTGTCTAGGACATCGTGGTTTTCGACGGTAACTGTGTCCTGATTGGCCACGAGAGAAACATGAGGAGAGAGTGCTGGAGAGGGCTGCTGGGAAGAGGGAGTGCGATTAAGACTGTCCATTGATTCTGTCAAAAAGAAAAAGAGAGAGATTTGGTTTATACATTATCAATACGTTTCATCTTACATGTCAATAAAATAAGTGCAATAACCATACTTCACAAATTCCATTTCTGAAGTACCTTTGCTTCTATTCCAGAAGGTGGCAGACCAAATCACCCCCTTCCAGCCCCCCACACACCACAACCCACACACACACACACACACACACACACACATACACACACACATCTCTTTCTCTTCCTGTTTAGACTCAACAGTGCGTTAGTAGTGGGCAGACATTTCTAAACCACTCAGTCCCACAGATGAACACGTGAGGCTCATGCCTGCTACACTCGCTGGAAGCACATGATGCGTTCACGGTTGATTTTTGGGGTGTAATCATTTCACTTTTTAATAGTAAGCAAAAATATTTTTGGAAGGTGGAACTGAGTTGAAATTTGAGTTTCCATGGTCAAATCTATGTTTGCTTGTGAGAAAGAAATTTGAGTGACACATCTCTCATTTTGGGAGTAATTGTTGAGCAGGTTAATTAAATAGGCAATTTTAAATAATCCAAGTAGTTTTTATTGTGCATAAACAGCGGTGTCCAGTGGTGATTCAGTGTTTGGACGTCTGATATCACACTCAACCTGCTGGTGCTTGAAAGGCATTGTGAGTAATGCTGAGGTAATGTTGTGGGAAAACAGTCGTAGATAACCGGCTTTTGATCACGTTGCAGCTAGCATGCTAATCTGAGGGGGGTTGTGTGGGCTCACGTAAACATTGCTTCTTTGGCAGAGCCTACTATTGGGTATCCAACACTTGAATAACTGACAATGACTCACAACCTTTCTGGCAAGAGAGAATTCTGAGAGGCACCAGGCGTGTGGTTGTATTAATTTCTGTGATCCTATATTTACTGTAAACATCTATATGATAACGATTTTGCGAGACTAGGGCTGCACGATAAATCGCATGCGATTGTCATGCGCATCTTGCCAGTAAAGCCAGTTCTGTGATTAGTAGTAAATCTCCATCACGTGCTTTCAAATGGAGCAGCATTTAATACACAGAGCGGTAGTTCGCTGACAAGCTATGCAATATTGCGTTCATAATCAAAGGAGATTCATCTGACGCCTTTACTGACGAGATGCGCATGACAAATCGCATGCGATTCATCGTGCTGCCCTAATTGAGACGTTGTTATGGTAAGAGGGAGAATACATATACAGTAAGTGGTTGTCATGATGACAGATCAGAGTGACAGAAGAGACATAACCTGTGGCCCTGGCAGAAATCAACATTTAAGTTCACAAAAGTTCACAGAAGCCTCGGTGCAACCGGACCCCACACTGTTTTTATCCAGCGTGTGTTCTGAGCGTCTCGACACATGGCTTAAAGCAGGATCTGAAACTGCGGCTCTCCAGGTGTGACTACAATCTCTGCTGTGTTCTTCTCTCACCCTGCTGTCCGTCTGCCTCACTACAGAAGAGTCTTTCTGTAAATAAGAGCTGAGATCCAGTCCTGCTGGGGTCTGTAATGAGGTTAGCTGCTAAGCAGCGACCGAGACTTTGCGTCTCTTCTAAAGCTACACTCGCTATTTCAACATTACGTCTGATCGTCACCTCTGGCCTCCATCTAAGACTTTAAGGGATGGTTCACTGTTTTTTTTCTAGGCTTGATTGTGTTTATGGGGTGCAGTCTAACATGTGTTAATGCTTCGTTTAAAAAAAAACGCATTATTTTTCACATAATTTACCTTTATTCGACACCACTCTGTTTCTTCTCTGAGAAACGCGCTGATCATTTCCTGTTTTTATGAAGCCCCGCCCTCAGAAATAGGCGATGGGCTCTGATTGGTTAGCTAGCCCAGTGTGTTGTGATTGGCTAAACCGCCTCTAGTGCGTGACAGAATCGCGATTCATATATGAACAGATTTTTACGTGCACCTCTAGTTCTCTTCCTCTTCTCTAAAGCAGCGCAGCATGGCCTCGCCCCCTTTGCTGCGTGTTCCCGGAGGGGGGGTTTATGTAAAATTCTGGGTTCTTGATGTCACGAACCCGGGAAGTAACTCGTTGTAGTCCCTACCAGCCATTTTTGTAGGCATTAAACTGCCAGAATTTTAAAAGACGATATCTCCGTTTGCATTGAACTTTCAGCTTCGTAACTTTGCAGATATTGTTTATGCTCAAACAGCAACATTACACACTAACTAACGTTAAAAAAGTGAAATCGCAATCAACCACCCCTTTAAACAACATGAAGAAAAATGTCCATGTGTGTGGGGAAAAGGGCATAGATGTGCCTGTTGTTCTGTATATACTAGTTTTATCTTTCACAGTCATTTAGAGGCGTGTGCGACCCTCCAGCGTGTTGTGTATTAAACAGTAACCATGCACATGTGTGTCTGAAACCCTCCCTGCTCTATCACTCATCTTTCTGTTATCTTTCCAAGTAATGTGTAACTTGTGGTTTCTCTCACTCTCCGTGTTTGGTATATCACATTAGCCACAACTGCTAACACTTTCCCATGTGTCTTACACTAATTACTGTTCCAGCTTTAACAAAAACACGTTTTCTTGCTATGATATTGCTGTGGACACAGATCGTGACACTGGCTGTTTGCTGTTAGTTAAATACATGACTTAAGAGCGTCTGTTATGACAGACGTGTGTGTGTGTCTGAACGCTCCTCTGTGACGCAGCTGTTGCTCTGCAGACTATTCAAAAGAGAGGAAGAGAGATGGAGGAATGGAACAGAATATTAAAATAAGACCTCGCCTAGATTACAACGTCATGGATTCTGTCTGCATCTCTGTCTATGCATCTCTCTCTGGAGAAACGTCCTGTGGTTAATTATTTCCCAGGCTAGGTTTATTCATTTTAAAACTGAATCTTTAGGTTAATGCAGGGATCTGATGTGGTGAAAGGGCTGATCGTAGGCTGTTTTTTTGGAGTATTTTATGTACAAGGGTTTTTCCTGTTTTAGCTCATCTGTAGCACTTTCCTTTCTCATAAACCCACATGCATATACGGTTTGTATTTATTAACGATACTGCAAAGAAAGGTTAAATAATTTTAGCTCTAAGAATTTTATTTTGAGGTGCTTTTGTTTTTAGTTAGACTTGTAGTTGCTATTCCAGTTTGTCCTATCACCTGCCACTTGCTGAGGTACAAAAATTCGTACTTTTTTCTGTTATTTATTTCTAAAATGCACATATAAAAATGTTTATGATCAGAAATATTTTTTTTCTTAAAGAAATTAATACTTTTATCCAGCACGAATGCATTCAATTAATCAAAAGTGACAGTAAAGTTTATTAATTTTATTTTACAATTTTTTTATTTCTATTTTTGAACTTTATGTAAATCAAAGGATCCTAAAAGTGAATCATGGTTTCTACAAAAATATTAAGCAATATATAGTATATTAGACACTGATAGTAATAAGAAATGTTTTTGCAGCACCAAATCGGCATGTCAGAATAATTTCTAAAGGATCATGTGACATTAAAGACTACACTCGAAGAAGGTGTACCCTCAATAAATATCGATACCGTTTTATCGCCCAGGCCTAGACTACACTATATTTTAAAATAAAATAAACAGTTATTTTAAATTGTAATAACATTTTACAATATTACTGTTTTGCTGTATTTTTGATCAAATAAATGCTGCCTTGGTGAGCAGAAGTTATTTATTTATTTAATTTAATAAGAAAATTTGTATTTTTATTTTTTTTCATAATTGACTGCATTCATTCTCACATTCTCATTCTCACATGTAAAATTGAAATAATTCCAAACCAAGCCCTTGTGTTAATGTGTAGTGATTTGCATTGAAAAGGGGAAAAATTAGGTCAAAGTGTCTGGAGTCAGGTGTGAACTGAAGATTGAAGTCATGGACTGCTCATTCTTCAGAGAAATCATAAGGTAGTGTTCAGTAGTATGATGATAATGTAAAGGGAAAGCAAAATGACTGCAGGACTGCAACCCAACATTTCCGACACTATTAGAACTTTATCAGAGGCTAAAATTTATCAGCTGCTGAGCATGTCATACTAAGTGGTCCAAGACTTAAAAAACTAAATAAAACTTCTATAATAAACCTCCTCACCTGCATGTCTGTTCAGTCCTCCAAACGTGCAAATCTGTCCAATGTTCTGTACCCAGATGTTCATCTCTTCTGCCGTTTTGGCCAGCAGGTAAAAGATGCGCGTAGCGGTCTTGACCACAAACAGGTGCTGATTCTCATACTGGCGTTTGGTGGGCCGCACCTCTGCCTCGATGGTGACCTCGCACTCCTGCAGGTCGATGGTTCTGATTGGTTTTCGGGAACTCTTGCTACGGTAATATTCCAAAACATCAGGATTCCCGCTCATCCGACCCCTCCGCAAAACAAACCATCGCTTTCGCCATGACTGAGAGAGAAAGGGACAGAGAGCGAGAGACAGAGAGAGGAACAGAATTAGATTAACATTGTTCTGCTGGATGGACTCACACAGGTTAGCAATCAAGTCAAAAAGTCTCCTTTGAGCTTTAGATCTTTAGGTCTTGTTTTCAGACTGCAAGCATTCACTCTTCACATGAAACATTTGCCCCCATTTAGACCTTGACACATTTTGGTAAAGATAAATTAAAGCTTAAAAAATATTGTAAAAGTGAAAAAGAAAACTGAAAATATAAAAATAAAAGATAATTCATCATTTTAATAAATACTATAATAGTATATAAATAATACTAAAATAACACTGATCAAAATATACTAACTTCCTCTGAAACAAATGTACTTTTCCACTGATGCCACTAAGGCTGGCTATTGGATAATGTTAATAAATAGGTAAACAGATAATTATTACAAATTATATATGATTACAAAAGAATATATAATTACAAATCAGTCTCGCCCCAGTGTCATATTTTTCACAGCATGCCGTGTCCGTGTTCAAACCAACTTAGGAGCCAATTTCATTGCGCAATAATGAAAACAGCTTGATTTATTTTGACTAAATGTGAAAATGAAACTCAAAGAGCATTAGATGAAATTGCAATAAAAGTAAATGGTGATCATTACAAGAGTTAAGTCATTGCAGAAATGGTCTTAGAATGGGTCTAGACTGATACATTTGTGTCATTTGTATAAGTAAGTTTCATTTATATGATTTCCCTTATTTACCCAATATAAAATTTCACACCGGTGTCCTCCCTTACCGAGTGTGTACATGCAAGAACAAACTTACAGATAAACTTCTGTCTAAACTGGGGAGGGTGTGGTCTGCAGTCAGAAATGACTTACAAACTTACTTCCCAAGAAACACACACAGTTTAATCTCTCAGAGCAGAAACAGGGTGCTCATTCGGTTAAGAAGTAAATAATCAACACTTACACACCAAGTCAATCAGTATAAATCTCCTGGCTTTAGCAGTAACTAGAAATCCAGTTTCTGCACTGTAATCAGTTCCAAAAATATGATTAGATGTATTAAGTTGTTATTCCATTAAAAAGATATTAGGTTATTATGACGTCATGAGGTAATTAGGTTAATATTACCTTATGAGGTAAATGCATATACTTTAGGTTATTAGGTCATTATGTCTAATTATTATACAGTGTATTATGTGTTATTATGGGTCATATGACGTTGCTAAAAAGAACATTATGTTGTGTATTTGGTGTAATGCAATGTGCTTATGCGGTTTAAGGTTCAAAAAACACATTATTTTCCACATACTGTACATTATTGTTTCTCCTCTATGCCCTGCCTTTGTGAAACGCGTCGATATTTACAAAGCTCATCGGTCTGAAAAACGAGGTGTGCTCTGATTGGCCAGCTATCCAGTGCGTTGTGATTGGCTGAAACGTCAAGCGTGTGACGGAAATGTTACGTCCCTTACCCTACTGTGATGCCGTGTCCCGGCGCGATGAGACAAAACCAATAAAACCCATTATAAACGAGGCATTTGTTGCTCTAGAGTGAGCGGAGGCCGGCAGGCCTGAGAATGGCGCGGCCGGCGGCTTCGACGAAGGAGCGGCCGGAGGGCTTGCGGCAACCACATGTGACGACCCTGGGCTGGACTCCGCTTCGTCCACGGTGAAAGCCGATCCGGCGATCCACAGCGCGAGAAATCATTTGGAAATCATTTGGTTGGTCTGATGGGAGTCACACCTTCAATAGATCATTTGCTTTAATCTGAAAATCAAGTTGCTCCAAACATATAACTTTTTCCTGTCAAACACTAAAGGGATTTTTTTTAAAGCTGTTCTTTTCCATGAAATAAAACAACAAAAAGATACAGTGATCACTGGCTGAAAAATGATAATGATAATAATAATAAGGTATTTAGGATATTACGCTCATGCTTTCAGCTGAGTATGTCCATTTTACCACATTTCAATCAATTCTGAACCTGTTGTCACACTGAAAAAAATTGACATTACAGATCACTTATAAAAATAGACTTTACAGTAAAGGGGGAGAAATGACCACAAATACTTCCTTAAAAGTAATCACACCTCATTAACGCTTACACAGAATATATAAAGGAAATGTAGAACTGTTTTTGCTTAAATGCTGCTTACAAGGCGAAAGTCTCCATCTTCTTGGTCTTAATGATAAGACATGCAAGAAAGCTGACAAAGGCTAAAGTGGGTATATTTTACCCTGAAACCTAAGCAATTTCTCAGTTATTTATTTTTTTAAAGAAAAAATAAGTTATTTTAAAAAAACTAGCACTGCTGTACTGTCAAAAACTCCATTTGAAACAGGCTTGACTGTATAAGGAAAGTTACAAGGCACAAACCACCAGGCCACTGATTAAAACACAGTTATCTTTAACAATTTTTCCATCTTGAGTCACTAATGTGAGTTGTGTGTGTGTGTGTGTGGATTTCACTGAAACACATACGTTACTCTTCCCGTGTCAGAATTCGTCAGAGACCACATGTTGTTCTGGGCATGCTCAGAACAGCAGGGTCAGGCCATGGCCTTGGTTTACCTCTCTCGCAAACAAAGACCTTCTCTCTATTCTTTCTTTTTGGAATGGTTATATTTTCTTCCCCTTATGCGTGCATGGTTTAGTCAAAGAGAGGAACTAGAGCTACGTTTTCCCAGAACCCCTCACAGAAGGGAAGTCTGAAAATGGCCTAAACGTTTGTCTGCGTTAAACAAACCGCAACACTTTCATGTTTAGATGTGCGTGTTTTTAAGAGTTTGTCTACATGTGTTTGCAGCATATATCTGTGGTTTGGTCTGTATAGTTCGTTTTGGATCAAGATAAGTAAATGTGAATCCAAACTAACATTTAACAATGTGTTTTGTTTTCTTCCTAATGTAAACAGCAAAGAGTAAAGAGTAAATGTTTTCCCTTAATGTTTTGCGCAAACAAGTAACGATAGTCTTGATGACGTTTTTGTACTTATAGGCCTATCCATCTTATTTGCAAAATGTAAGTTTACGCTATTTTCTTTGAATGTTCGAGACTTTCGAATTCTTGGGCTTTAAGTAAATAACTATAAGAATAACAGTGCAGTAAACTGTTTACAAACCATTGTGTTTATGATTATAATACATTAAAAAAATATTATAACAAAAACTAGTATGTAGTATAACAGACTGTTTTCTACAGCCTCACACATTCAAGTTACAAATGGCCGCACCTGCTCTTACGTTAAAAGTAAGGTGGAAACAAAAGTAAATTCATCAGTAACTCTTTCTGCATATTACTTCATTCTGCAGTAGGTATCGACAAGTGATTGTTTTAGTGAATCATTGTATCATTCATTCAACCAATTTGGTCAAAAACGCAAATTCATTTAGAAACGAAACAAGTGACTGCCTTTGTGAGCGAGCCACTGAATCATTTACTCAAATGATTAGTTCAAAAACGTTGATTCATTCAGGAAGGAAACATCACCTCTGCTCTGTGTTGCTATGAAACACACAGCAGTTCTGCTGCATGTTTGGAACTATTTATGTTTGACGGAGCAAAAACAACTGGAAAAGTATACACTCGCATTCATGCTGTGCATATATATATTTATAATAAAACAAAATATGATATGTACTATGTTAATATAGAGAGATTTTCCTTAATGATTTTTCACAGGTGTTTCACCTGAATTTCAAATTACTTGTTATTTCTGTTTTACATATACATATTTTATTTTAGGGTTAAAGAAAATGCTTTGTGTTTTTATACAGATCTTTTTCTTACTGTGTACCTCAAAATTATGTAGTATTATACAGTAGAACATTTTAAGGCTAAAATGTTATTTCTTAATTATAGAAAGGTTTTTAAGATTATTTTTTTTCTCAAAGTGTATGAGGTGGTAGCAGTATCCTGCAGTGTGACTTAATATACTTAAGCTAAAACAATGATATAATTATATAATTAACGTGCATGCAGTTTTATGACATCATATTAACTGAAAGACTACATGCAATATTATAAAAATAAAAATAATGTTAAAATAATGTTAGATTTAAGGAGGATTAAAAATAGAGAAACACTTCAAGGAAATAGTGACCTGTCACAGCTCCTTAAATAATCATTTTTAACCTAAAATGTTAAAAAACATTCAAAGAAAGAAAGAAAGAAAAAGATCACACTGGTAGCACACAACACATACTACACTCCTTCCCATTTTGCTATCAGATGAAGCCACAAAACCAGAGAAAGAGAGAGAGTTAGAGAGAAAGGGCGAACGAGCGAGCAAGAGAAAGCATTTGCTTGCTCTGCATGCAGTGCCTTAAACTATTTACTATGACACACACATGAGCACAAACACAGACTACAGGCACACTTGTTTACACTCACTATTTGTCAGTCACCGGGTTACACCTCCTAAAAAAAATAGCAGTCAAGCCACTTTTGCCTGTGTGGTCTCTGATAGCACAGCTCATTTCTGAATGCAGGGTCACTCTCAACTGCCTGGCACCCTACACTTCCCATGTTTTGCAACACACCCAAATTTCACAAAAACAGAGCAAAAGAGAGAGAGGGGTGAGTGAGAGAGAGCGAGCATGTTTGTAGTGTCAGACTGACACTTTGAACACACATCTTATGACTGGTGGTCCTCCCTTCCTCTTCTCTACCAAATAACTGAGACCTCCACTTCTACAGTGGAGGACTAAATCAACAGCGTCTCTGAATGTCTAATAAGGTTTTAATTAGGGTAGCACAGTATTCTTTTGTATATAAATCGTCTTTTGAATAATATTGCGCACCTGCTTTTGGAAAGGCTGTTTTACGATTGCGAATTACGTGTATTAACAAGCAAAATATGAACTCAGTAATGCATTTAGCCAAACTAGTGACAAAGGAAGCTTAAATTTCCAGCGATATCGTCGACTTGATTGCACAGATACTATTTAAACTGAACTGCGTTGGACAATGACATCACTGAATTCAATGATGAACTGCCTTTAACTGAAAAATGTAGTGTTTACTATTGTCCTTTTGCATTGACACACTATTTTCCTATTTTGATACTGTAAAGCTGCTTTGACACAATCTGTATTGTTAAAAGCGCTATATAAATAAAGGTGACTTGACATGAAAAGATTAGTAAATGGGTAGCTGACATGACATATCAGCAGTGCACTTAAGTTTGACATGCTATATTTCACCTAAAACTTCGGTTTTGGGAGTGATTCTTATACACATAGTTCTTATTTCCTGCAATTAATTAAGAGACTACATGAAATAGTTGTGCTGTTAAAACTTCATATGTCAAACCAAAGGACTAAGTAAATTACAAGAGAAGCAAAAAGGTGATTAAAAAGGATGAACAACTAAAAGAAACGGTGACCAAACCCAGCACCTAAAATATATCTCCTTAATTCATTTACATATCAGCCTAAACAAGGTGTTATTGTAGTTAACTAAAACAAAAAAAAAAACTAAAACTAAAACAATAAAAAAGCATTTCATTACTTGAAATAAAATAAACACAAACTGAAATGATCAAAAAATAAAAAAAATTATACAAATAATTTAGAGATAAAGAAAAACAAAAACTATTAAAAAAGATAAAACACAACAAACTTGAACTAAAATTAAAACTAATGAAAAATCAACAAAAACTATAATATTATTTTAGTGATATTAAAACAACAATGCTGTACTTGCATGATGATGTGATACGACTAATGATTGAATACTTCATCTTAATTTTAGAATTTAATTTCCATTCACACCAAGGACGATAACTATAAAGTTGTCATTCTAATTCTATGAGAACAGGGGAGTCCACATCACAGTTAAGGCTTGTTCACACCAAGAACAATAACTATAATGCTAACTATGTTAATGTCCACACCAACAAACAATTAATAGGGTTTATTGAAAGTGCATTCTGCAGTTACTGTATATCACCTGCTTTACATGCTTAAGCTATTTAACGTCAGGACTGTCAAAGTTTTTATCCTTCATCAGGTGAAAAAAAAAGCTCAGAAAGAGATTCCAACGATATTGTTCCCTTGTGTTGTTGTTGTTGTAGCTGTGGATAGGACATCCCTATTCTCACAAACCTAGAGAGATTATTCAAACCTTACAGTTATAGCCAGGTTATAGTTGTCATCCTTAGTGTGTCTAGAGGACTTCATTTTTATTTATTTTTTTTGGCTGAACGATTAAAAAAAATCTAAATTCACCCAACATGAATGAGCTAAAGGATTTAAAGATGACATAAACAGATAATAAACAGAATCTGGACAGTTGGTGTGGGTGCTAATATGGTTATAGTTATTCTTGTTGTTAACAGGACTGTATACTGTTAATAGGGATTACCATGGCATACCGCTCATCCCCGTTTACAACAGATTATACAACACCATTTAACACAGTAAAAAGAGAACACCGTTAGGCTGTTTCAGTTTTAAACTGTCCCAGTTTTACTTGAATAGTTCCTGTTTTAAACTGTTTCCTGTTTACATGTATAGCAAACATCACAACAATACAAGTAGCATTTGCTCGGCCACAGGTAAAACGTGCACTGTAGCTTCTGGTCTGACAGATGAAAGCTGAGCACAGTGAAACGCTTGCACAATTAAGCACAGTAAACATAAACAGATTGCATGCTAAAAGAAATGAGGAAGGAACATCAAACACAGGAACGGCAAAGGACAACAAAATATGCACTCTGCATTTCTGCAATAGACAAATAACAAACAGACTGCAGTTACATGACAAAGCACAATGCTCTGTCACTCTGTCAGAATAAACAATTTTGTACAAGAAATCTAGAATTTGAGATGCATTCCATGACAGAGTCATACAGTACAGCACAGGTAAACTGCTTTGTCACAAAGCACAGCACTGAATTTGACACAGGCAAGAGGCAATGCAAAGCAGCACAGCCACGTGTGAGAAGGCACACAAATGCTGCACAAACACAGCTGAGAATTAGCATGTGTAAAGCATCGCATAACAACGATCTAAAGTCCACAGGCAACAGAAATTAAAATGCAGCCAAGCAGAGCCTTCGGCACGGCACAGTTGAATAGTAGAAAACCCTGACGGTGATAGAAAGCAGCAGAGAAAGCGCAAGTGTAAGCCATAGTTACAAGGCACTTAGTATGTATTAAAATGCAACCGTGCAGCACAGAGAAACACAGCTGTGTTCTAAAAACACAGAGAACATGAACTGACAGTGGATCATTATACTGCAGTACCCGCTTCTAATGCTGAACACATCACACACACACACACACACACACAGGACTTTTACTCACAAATCTCTTTAGCTTCTTCTCCGGAGGGGATTTTATGAGCCATCCTGTGCACACCACATCGCCTGCGCTCATAGCTGCTGCGTCTGGCTGTGTGCGTGTGTGTGTGTGCATTGCTGATTGCAGACTGAGAGGAAGGCAGAGAGAATCCTATGTTTAACCCCCCAAACACAGAGAGGAGGAACTCACAGCATCGACCAAGGACCGAGTGAGAGAGAAAGAGCGAGAGAGAGAGAGAGAGGAGGAACAAACAGCGGGTGGGAGGAGAGAGCGTGTGTGTTTTTGTATTTGTATGTGATCTTTGAGAGGACATGTATGTACAAGCGAACCGTCTGCATGTGTGTGTGTGTGTGTGTGTGTGTGTTTGTGTGTTCTGGGGGGAGGAAGAAAAAGATGTTCCTCCCTCCAGTAGCACATGACCTTGTGTGTATGTGAGAAAACCCAAGGTCAGTTCGGAAAATGCTGTGAGGGGAATTTGAACTGGTTTACTAGGCCATCTGTTGTTGGAGCCTTAGAGAAAGAAAGAGGGAAGGAGGGAGATGGAAAATTAAAAATTGTGAATTATTTCAAACTTTTTAACATTGATTTGTTATGCATGCCACCATTATCAGCCCTACAAATATTTTTCAGGTAAACCCCCATTATTTTTTCCTATCTGCACATTATGGGAAGAAGCAGGTTGTGCTGCATGAGGAAATGCTGTGGTGTCTGTCTGCCATCTAGTGACCAATATCTATATCAAAATACTTTTTTGGCACAAAATATTTTATTAATATTACCACATTTTATGCTCCTGTATATGCAATCAACAGAACTTCCAAAAGCACAAACATAAAATAACATTTGAAAAATTAATAAAATTGTAATTGCTATATACAGCAGTGGTTCTCAACCAGAAGGCCAGGGCCCACTAGGGGGTCTCAGTACACTTCTAAGGTGTACACTTCTAATATCATAAAATGGTAGACAACAAGCATTAAAAATAAGCCAATATACAAACAAACATAAATAATAAATACATTTTCCATCAAAGGTTTCATAATATCTTGAAAAAATATGGATATATGAAAATGCACATTTTATGAATATATATATATATATATATATTAATTTAAAAAAAATCATTTTTAGGATACAGTTATTCTCTAAATCTCATTACATTCTTTAATATTTAAAATATATTTTCATAAAATAAAGTATTTTCAAAAATAAAGTCACAATGCAATAAATAAATAACAGGCCTAATAAATAGTCCTAAAATAGTCCTGATTTTCTATAATTTTCTAAAAATAACATATCTAAAAATAGAATTCATTTTCTACCATTTTTAACAACAGTCCTAAAAATATTTTTTTATACTTTTCTAAAATTAACAGTTATAAAATATGCATAATTCTTTTAAAACAGTCCTAAAAATAGAATTGATTTTCTATAATTTTCTAAAACTAATAGTCCTAAAAATGGAATTAATTTTCTAAAAACAACTTTTCTAAAAATAGGAATCATTTTCTAAAAATAACATATCTAAAAATAGAATTCATTTTCTACCATTTTTTATTAAATAAAATGTCAACCACTTAAAATATTAAATAAAATGTAAAAAAAAAAAATATATATAGCATATAAAAATGGTTAAATATACTTTTATTTTATTTATCATGTGGTATCTTTTGTTTTGTTTTCGATGAACTGTATTAAAACCGGTTAGGGTCATTTGACCCGAAACATTATAATAATCATTATGCATAATAACAGTTTAAGGATCCCACAACAACTGAAAACAAAAACATACAATGTGTTATTGCCGTTTTTTAATTAATAGATTATATAAATACTAATATGGTCACTTTACAATAGCAGGGCATTTAGTTTAAGCTGAGACATTGTTGCAAAAAAACAACAACAATATGATACATTTGATCTTTCTGCTTTGTGTCTCAGTGGTTGCTGTTTGACAGTTGCCCATTTTTGAGCATTTGATAATATCGCGAGATCTAGAGTACAGCTCTGAAAGCGGCTATGGTTTACTCTGTTCTCGCGAGATTTAATATGAAGCTCTGAAAGGGGCGTGTGCGCGCGTCTTGACTGTACGGACCTGTCATGACTCATGACGCATACACCAAAATTATGCTTTACAACTTACTGTCTGGTCACCAGTAACTCATGAAAAGCTTCGTACATTAACCAACATGTCGGACGAAGAGCTACCGTCTACTTCTCGGGAGGCGCACGCGGAGGCGGAAGAGGTAAAGAGAAAGAGAAGTACAGAATGTGTGTAGCAAACGGACATGAAAAGCAGGATGCAGAAGTTTCCAGTTCATCTGCGTTTGGGGGGAACGGAACATGGCGGGAAGGCGGAGTTCAGTTCACATCTGCAGAGCTTTAGATGTTTATTACTCAGTGTTTCAGAGCATGTTTTTGTGGCTTTGACAGATTTGCATGCAGAGTTGCGCCGCTCTTCGTGCAGCCACAGACGGAACGCATGCAGATCTGTCTGTTCGACATCAACAGCTATATGCAGGCATGCGTAAATAAACACTCACATACTCATCACTGTTACTCTGAGCTGAAATGTCTCTGATGTCATTCTGGCTTTATTTGAGCTTATATAAGCCTGGGTCAGCGAGAGTATTGATCCTATGTCACTATCAGCAGTTCATCTGGGCTCCAACTTGTAGTTATCAAAAAGAGTCGTTTTAATAAGCGATTTAAACATTATATTACATGACTGGTCACACTTTATATTGTTGTTCATATTGCTGCGTTTACAGAAATCGCGTGTAATCAATTTGTATTGTTATTTATTGTCATAGTTTTGTGATTATGATGTAAGATTTGTAACACATCCCCTAAAAAAGTTACAATGGTAACCATAGATTCTGCTGAAATACTATAACTAGTACAGTTATTGTTACTGGAATAAAATTCTGGTAATGTATGTGCCACCACATGCATATAACAATATTAATAAAAAAAGAAATGAATGGATCTCATAATGATTTATTTTGAATGTACAGTAGAAACAATAATTATAGCAACTATGGTAATCATGACAACCTGTTGTAATGAATGGTTGATGTTACTTGTTACTGTTACATTACGCTTAAGTTACAGGTGAAGTAAGGCTGCAGCTTTGAATAACTGGATAAAAAAAGCCAATTTATTAAAAAAAACAAAAAACATGTTGTTCCACATCCTGTCATCAGTGTTATGCTCTAGATAAAATGCTAACTGCAGGTTGTAAAAAAAGAAATGTAGTAAATGTATTTGTACGTGAAAGGTTTTAATTTATAACCATTACATTATAAAACAAAAACACCTGTTTACATACAGCTGTTAAAGCAGAATTTCTCAATTAAAAATATAACAATTAAAATTATAATAAAGGGAAAAACAAATTTATTTCTCTGGACATATTAACATTAATAAGTGTCATTTCTTCAGCGGTGGCCTGCGATTGAATTTTCAGAGTGGCTGACAAACATAAATAAATATAAAGCGAACCAATAAATATTTCAGCAGGTTTGGTTAGGGCTGCACGAACAAAATGACAAAAATGATATTCGCCGATTATTCCCTACGAATTTACGTTAAATTATGTTTTGAAAAGCATTATGCCATTGTTTGAAGCAACTGCATGCCATATTGTTGTAAACAAGCTGAAAACACTCTTCCTGAAATACTTTTATTGTTTTGCTATTATAATGTTATACTAAAACTAAAACAATGGAAATAACTCTTAAGCTAACCTGTAGAAAGAAAGAAAAAATACTCTTAAGCATGCATAATAATGTAAGTAGACTTCTGTTTTGTAATTGTGCCTTTGAACGATTGCGTGGCTGTGATATCCTTAATTGTAATCACAATTAGAAATTTGATTAATTGTGCAGCCCTAGGTTTGATGTTTATATATTTCTCGTTAATTATGTTTTACAATAGCAGGACAAATCTTCCAGTACCATATGTGACCCTGGACCACAAAACCAGTCTTAAGTCGCTGGGGTATATTTGTAGCAATAGCCATAAAATGGTTTTATGTTTACGCGATGCAACGCGACGAGTAAAAAGACAGTATAAGTCATTATAATCAGTAATTATGTCCCCACTGGATGCAAAGATATTTTTTGTAAATTTCTTACCGTGAATATATCAAAACTTAATTTTTGATTAGTAATATGCATTGCAAGTTCATTTGGACAACTTTAAAGGGGTCATATGATGCGATTTCAAGTTGTCTACGTCACGATGTGGGAAGATTTGCATAATGCCGACCAAATGTTCACGCAAAGAAAGAAGGCGTAACTTTATTGTTGCTGCCGCCACCACCGCCATGTTGTGAAAACGCTGTGTTTCGTTGCGAAAGCGAAAATAATTTGTTTGGTAAAACAGCGCATTTTATGGAGGACTGTTTCCAGATCCTAGGAGAGTAGACTACAATGCCGTCTGTTCTGACTCACAATCTGTAAGTATGTTTTCATATTTAAAGAATTTGCCATTGATGATTCAAACGCGAGTTTTGAGCAGTGTAGAGTAGCACTTGTTGTTTGTCGTTTTTCCGATCACAAATGCAGACATAAAAACATAAAATGGTTTTATGTTTACGCGATGCAACGCGACGAGTAAAAAGACAGTATAAGTCATTATAATCCATAATTATGTCCCCACTGTATGCAACAAATGCCTTGTTTATAATGGGTTTTATGATTTTCTCAATATTTTGATTTTTTTGCACCCTCAGATTCCAGATATTCAAATAGTTGTATCTTGGCCAAATATTGACGTATCCTAACAAACCATACATCAATGGAAAGCTTATTTATTCAGCTTTCAGATGATGTATAAATCTCAATTTCAAAAAATGGACCCATATGACTGGTTTTGTGGTCCAGGGTCACATATAAAGTGATCCTTATTTAACTATTTATGCACTATTTCATTATGAAAAATGTAAATATTTACCTATTGGTCAGTCTTACTTGTTTTAAGATGTGTCATTAATTGGATTTTCATCTGTAACAGATTTTCTTAATCTTTTGTCTTACCGCAAATGGGTTTGGTGATGTACTAATGTGATACTGAAAGCTGATTGGTTTGAGTTGTTACCTCTTATCATGATCGGGTATATATATGCAATTGGAGATCAGATTATATGCATCTGTGTAAATTGAATAAAATAGAAGGACTGGCACTGTTTGTAAATATATTATACATTTATATATAATTACATTTACATCTACATTTAGTCATTTAGCAGATGCTTTTATCCAAAGGGACTTACGAATGAGGACATAGAGCAAGCTAGTGTTAGAGGCCTTAAAATTTTAATTAAATTTTTGGAGCTAAATATAACATCCAACAAAAAATATTTCAGCAAAATTTTGATCCTTTTTCAAAGAGCTCAGTCTGTTTCATACGCATATGAGCTGTCAACTATTTATTAAAGTCTGTGAAATTTAATGGGGAATTGCTGGCCGTCAAGATGAGCCTTTAGACAAAGTGGAAATATTTACGTGTATTACTAATATTTATACCATAAAATGAAAGTTATACGTGGAGGAAAACATGTTTCTAGCGCATTAAACGGCACACGCATCTGTCACAGCACCTGGCATCGAATAGTTGTTACAATATATATATTGTCTGCATGTATTGGTATCTAAGGTGTGTTTTTGATTTGTGTTTCTAGGAAGACGCACCATTTCTCCTGGACCCTCCTCCTAAAGCAGCTGTGAAGGAGAGCTTGGCTGACCCTGAGTATGAGGAAAAAAGAGTGAGTCTGTTACACTTTTAATCCACACTGTTAATGTATAATGTAGTGGCAGCTGGTTTTTAAATACATTGAGGTGTTAGTCAGTGGTAACCACAGGTGAGAAGAATGAGGTTTGCAGTTCCAACCCTCAAGACCAACCAGAGATGGAGGTGAAATCAACCAGATGAAGGAATTTACTAGATGTTAAGCAAATACTGAATTCAGACATGCTAGATGCCTTCCTACATTTATATACTGCTTATGAATTCAGCATTTTTCAGATTTCAGGCACAGTTTAGGTCACATTTGGCAGAATTTTAAATTTTTTTTAAACGATGACATACAAATAATGTAAAATCAACCAATTCATTTTAAAATGTCTCATACGTGTGTCTCATACAAAAGTGTTTTTTTGAAGTTTGAAGTTTGAAGTCATAATTTGCAGATCATAATTTACTCAAAAACCTTGGTCTCTCCCTTGGCTATAGAAAACAGACCGTGCCAACAGGTTTGAGTTCCTGCTGAAGCAGACAGAGCTGTTCGCTCATTTCATTCAGCCTGCCAGTCAGAAATCCCCCACCTCACCTCTGAAGGTCAAGGTGGGGAGACCCCGAATCAAACAAGATGAGAAACAGAACCTGCTGTCTGTCGGAGAGTGAGTCAGACACACATACACAGACATGCATGCTCACACATTCAGATGCATGAGGTTAGCGATTATTCCCAAAGCTGTTGGTCAGACATGTCGTCATGGTGATTTGGTTTGATTTATTTGTGGCCCGTGTTTGTGTGTTTCAGTAACCGCCATCGTCGAACAGAGCAGGAGGAGGATGAGGAACTCTTATCTGAGAGCAGGAAGGCAGCTAATGTTCTTGTTCGTTTTGAGGAGTCACCATCATGTATGAATCAATGTTTTTATGAACAGTCAGTCTGTTTCTGTTTATTAATGAGTCTCACACTGTTTTAAATACAAATAGCAATTAATATATATTAAAAAAAATTCAAATTTTGTATTACACAGGAAAAATAACAAAATGCATGTTTGAAACTACTTGAGAGTGAGTAAATTTCTTAACGGAAGTGGTCCTCAACCAGGGGGCCTCAGCACAATTCCAAGGGGCCTCAAGATGACTTAAAATGACTTAAAATTAGACAAAACAAGCATTAAAATAAGCCACAACAACTAAAAAACTAATCATTTCTTTTAATTCAAACAATCAACAACTCTTTTTTTTTTTGAAGAACTAGGATTTACACTTTCTTTGAAAACCCGATTATATGAGGTAGACATTAATATGATCATTTAAATTAATAAATTAAAATTAATAAAATATTATAAAATAAAATATAACTCTATGGTAATTGTTTATAACTAAGTAATTTTTTTTCTAGTTATGCCAAGCTCAAAAATATTTTATCGGGTAGAAATTGTGAATAAAAAATATTTGTAATATTTATATATAAAAATCTTTATCTTTAATTCTTGTTGATGGGCCTTGGAGTCAAAAAGGATAGGAACCACTGCTTTACAGGGGGAATGTAAAGTTTCTGCAACACTAAAGGTGTATTCACACCTGTCTTGTTTGTTTCGATTGAATCGAACTCAAGTTCGTTTCCCCTCTTGGTGCGGGCCTTTTTGGCAGGTGTGAATACAGCAATCGCACTCGGGTGCGGACCAAACAACCGTACTGAGACCCAGCTGAAGAGGTGGTCTCGGTCCGCTTCCAAACGAACTCTGGTACAGTTCGTTTGACCATGGCTTGCCGCAAAAATTACCATGACTATGTTAGGGGAAAATAGTAAGGAGATATTTGAATTATTTATTAATAAACTAGTGTTTTATGAGTCAGTGTTGCAAAGATGAAGTTGATTATCCTGACTCGCCATGTCATCATTGGACGCACCTTTAGAAAGAAATGCATCTTTACACATTACATAATAATAAGAGTTTTTGTTTTGGATTTGAATTATTTCGCGTGAGGTGTGTACGCGCTCTGGCGTAGTTTACGCAAGCGCCGGAAGTGATCTCTCGCGCGTATACGTCACTCATTGTTTACACAGTGCACAGTCAAAAAAATCGACATTGTATTTGGTCCGGACCAAAGCAAGTGAACTAGTGGACTTTCCTGGTGTGAATACACCCTAACAGTCCCAAATGGAATGGCAAAAATAACAATTGTTTCCAAGCACAAAGAATCCCACAGAGCCCATGCATCGTTATTATTTTTCTGTCTCATTTTCTTTAAGGCATTTTTTCTTACTTTATAGCCTCTTTGAGCTCCTGTATTCTTGGAAACAGCAATTATTTTTATAGTTTTGAAATTACACACTGCACCTTTAATAACACACAAGGTGACAACAAATGCACACGAACTGTGTTATCAAGCAGCTGTCAAGAACAACAGACACCTGTAATGTGATGTGTAACATTTAAGCACCTCATCCAGTACTTGATTTCATGAGATGATTTATTATAGCTCATTCACCTGTGATCAGATTCAATGGTTGCTGATTATTCATTTTTGATTCATCGACAGATGTTAAGAATGGAGCTTTGAGAGATTATCAAATCCGAGGCCTGAACTGGATGATTTCTCTGTATGAAAACGGCATCAATGGCATCCTGGCTGATGAGATGGTAAAAATCCCAATCTGTTTCTCTCTAATGTTTTAAAATAAAGCTCAACGCATTGAAACCCAACATGGTCCTAGTGGCAGGTAAAAGCAACTATATGATAGTCCTTAATGGAATCCCTACATTTTCAGAAATAGTCTGAATATGCGTCATTGCAGAACCACACAGATTCATTACAATGAAAACGCGGCTCCGGCATCTTTTCAGAGGCTTCAGTAAGACTGTGATTTTTCTGGGTCTGTCTTGTTGATGTCATAGACTGTGAATCACTGGATTTCTGTATTCTGATTGGTTCAGGGTCTGGGTAAGACCCTGCAGACAATCGCGTTGCTAGGCTACCTGAAGCACTACAGGAACATTCCCGGCCCCCACATGGTCCTAGTGCCCAAATCTACCCTGCATAACTGGATGAATGAATTCAAGCGCTGGGTGCCCACCCTGCGCAGCCTGTTTCATCTCCTCCCACACGTTATGTTGCTGTATCTGTCACAGTTGTGTTGGAAGTTTGTGTGCAAATGTGCTGTGTGTTTAAAGAAGTCTTCACTTTAGATTATAAAACCAAGTTTATAATCAAATCAGCAAAGAGGCTGGGAAAAAATGGCTCCAGACTGTTTTTAGTTGAATATTCATTTCCTTGATTCTACAGTACCTTTCAAAAGCTTGGGGCTAGTAAGATTTATTATTAAAAAAAAAAGAAGAAATTAATACTTTTATTCTGAAAGCAAGGTTTGCATAATCGCTAACCTGATGTTCTGGGACTGTTGTTTCTTCCAATTAGGCAATCATATTCCAAAATGTATCTGTACCAAAATGTATCCATGTCTTGGCAATTATTCTCTTAAGCAGTCGGTTATGTCTTAAATGAACTTAAACAGTGGTGAAAGAAATCGCATGCGTATCATTATATTGGATCCATGCATCAGGTCTTAAAGGGACAGAAGCCTATAAAAACCTGCTGCTTTCCGTGTCATTAATGTTAAAGATTAATCTATATTTAATTTATACAGTGAACACTATGCAGTGTTATTTTACATGTAATTATTACATTTCTGTACCTGAAAATCCTTTTTTTTCTGAAAAATGATCCAATGTGTTACTCAAAATCTGGAATATGATCCTAACCATGAATTTTGTGATCCGTTGCACCCCTACTTTCTTGACTTATTATTTGAAGAAAAATACATTCATATAAGTTTTTGATCATGCTGATTTGTCCACAGAGAGATGTGACACTGAAAACTGGAGTAATGCCATCATAGGAAAAATTACATTTGAAACTGTATTAAATGAGAAAATAATTTTAAGTTAGTGTATTTAACATAGATCATTGTCTAAGAGGCACGATTTTGATCATAACTCGGTGAGAAGCCAACAGGTCCCCATAAAAAATAATTTCTAAATTAAAAAATAAAAATGCAACAAAAAAAAAAATGCTTCTCTAAAAGTTAGGTTTAAAGGTTAAAAATTAAATCAATAATATTAGCTCTGTATAAAGACAGTAGAAGTCAATCGAATGTTACTTCCAAGAAAACATATCTGTGTGTGTTCTAAAATTTCAGGATTTTGATTCCTGGTTTGACACAAATAACTGTCTTGGTGACCAGAAGCTGGTTGAAAGACTTCATGCAGTGAGTCTTACTCTCTCTTTGGAAGATATTTTTAGTATTGTTCAGCATTGAAGTAGTTTTTGTTGTTGTTGATGATGATGATAATGATTGGCTATTGAGTGGTTGTTTTCAGGTTCTGCGTCCATTCCTGCTGCGTCGTATCAAAGCAGAGGTGGAGAAGAGTCTTCCTCCTAAGAAAGAGGTGAAGATTTACCTGGGGCTCAGTAAAATGCAGAGAGAATGGTAAGATCACACACTCACAACTTCCTTAAAAACAAACATTTGTTAAGGGGATGAGACATAAGGCCCCTTTTCAGATACTGGATCACAGTCGTGTAGCACTTGGCCACATAAAAAGTTTAGTGCAAGTTTACCAGATGTGTTGTAATTCATATCTAGGGATTTGCCGGTATCAAATTTTCATGTTGCGATTAATTGCTAATGCTTTTATTACGGTATACGGTATTATCACAATATTGAAATTAAGTTTAAAAAAAAGTGCTGTCATAATACAGTATAACAGGTTTAACTTTTTTAACAGGTTCAACTTTTTTCTTATAACAAAAATAACTGAACATTTAAATGCAATAAAGCAATACAGAAAAATGTACAAAGTTAAAAGTTTTACACAGATTAAAGTGCAAAAGAACTATAAAGACCAATAGGTATCACTTTACAATAAGACCTCATTAGTTAACCTTAGTTAATGCATTAACATTCACAATGAGCAAAAGCTAATGTTAACTAATGAAGCCCTAATGTAAAGTGTGACCGAACAATAAAGAATCAAAACACTTTCAAACAATATCTAGGGCATGTTGTAGTCCAGATTAAAATGTAAAAAAAAGTTTGAAAATAAATAGCCTATTAAGTCTAAATATTTAAGTATTTGGTGCTGTGATGAACATCATAGCAAATACACAAATCTGAATGGCTGTTTAAATAATTTAAACATGATTCAGAAACAGACGGCGGTGTTGTGCATTTTGACCAGTTTATGGGAAAAGTATTCTTAAAATGCATTCAAAATTCGGAATAATTTGTAATATATAATTACTCACGGTATTTAGAAGTGCCCACGATAACAATATCGTGCATATTCATTACCGTGATATATCGCATTACCGAATACCGGCACAAGTCTATTCATATCACTGAAGCAACATTCAGAGGTGGGCAGGGACAGATTCTGACCACATCTGATGAAAAAAAAAAAATCTTATTTTTGAGGCCGATCGTCGATCACAGAAAGCAGTATCTGCCGATACGATCACTGATATCAATCTTTTTAAAGCCTTTTTTTAATCATGTAGAATTATTTATAGTGATACTCCAATCAGGATTTTTAGACATTTATTCAGGGCCTGAATTTCATTTTTGAAAATGGGGGGAATTCCCCTCTTAGGTGACTCTTGTGAGAGGGGATTTTTTTATTTGAAGGGTGGAGGGGGCATTTTTTTGACATTTTTCAAAAATACATATTTATCTCACCTAAATGTTTGATCATGTAGTGCATTTTTGTTTTTACAATCGTGCAATTGTTGCACAGTAGCTTACACACAGCACAAGCCTGATTTTGTGAACTGTATGTGAGGTGGCCTTTTACACCAGGTTCACACATACTCCGTTTGCAGTGCATATGCAGTCCATGTGTGGTATGTAAGTGGTGCAGAAGCAGCGCAATGAGTCCTGCTTTCACACAGGCTGTTTACCACAAACAGAATTTATCCATTATTTTGATTTGTTGTTACTGAAAATGCTTTTTCAGCATTGTGATTTTTTTTTTACACAGTACAGTAATACAATCGTTCATAGACGTGTTTAACACAATAAATTTAAGCATCACATTATTCAATGCTCTTTACTTTTGCATTTACTTCTAGATTTATATATTAAGTTGCTCAAGCAATTGGCAAAATGTTTAAACTACTTGTCTTACATTATCACAAAAATTCTAAATTAAAACTTACCATTGACAGAAACAGTCAGCTCTACTGCCTTTTCTTTTGCATCTACATCTTTATTCCAAGCAATCCTGCGGTTCATAAAGAACTTTGTTTTCCTACCTCCACGAGTGCCATCTATTATTGTTAATTATATGCATTTATTGTGTAATTACTTCATTTTCGTGTCAATCCATGTTCATATTTACTGCAAACAATGCGCTGTCACTTTAATTCAGCACGTGCAGCACATACAGCAAACTTGGTGTGGAAACGATCTCTGCACTGCTGCAGACGCACCACTCCTGGGACCACAACCGTGTGTGCAGTGTGAACGCTTAAATCCGTTAACATGAGCACGGAAAAAATACGCACCACATACGCACTGCAAACGGAGTATGTGTGAACCTGGC